TCACCTTTTAAGTTGCATTACTGAAATAAATGAACTTTTGCATGATATTCTAATTTTTTGAATTTCACCTGTAAAAGATGAGGAATTAATTTTTACTTAATAGAGAATTAACTGAAAATTCAAAGTGATGGTTATTATTTTTTTATGGCTCCAGCTTATGGGAAGTTGGCATATGTTTTCACAATGTAGATTTAATTATTTTAAAAGCCTTTTTTTAACCTCTGTGCCTCTGTTTACATCTTTATCTCAGAGTGCCATCAATTTGTTTTCCGATCTTAGCAGCCACATAGATTTTTCTCCATGACGATGATCTCTCTCTAACCTGTTCTTTTAAGCCTCCCAAAGGTGTACTCACTGTTGCTGTAACCAAGTCTCTCCCTCTTGATGAAAGAGAGCAAAGGCAACCAGCAGCAAGTAACGGTTCTGAATTGTTTGGTCTTGGGAACAGTTCCAAATGGGTGGGTTCATATATTGTATCAAGCCATGGTTTTGTTAGCGGTGTGATGAACATCCTGCAGTTAGCTGGTTCACAAATAATACAAAAGTATTAAAAGGTTCACAAATCACAATGGTTGTGCTTTGTTTTCAGGAAAAAAACTCCCAAACCCTTTTGAACTGTGATGGAACCATGAATGAGAAGTGTGATTTACTCAGGACTCCCTCCACTTTGAAATCAATGATGTAAAAGTTGTGAATGCATAGATAGGCTCTTTTACACAAACCTTTGCAAAGAGAAATCAGTTAATTTTCACTATTGAATGACGTAGTCCTTGGAAATGAAACTGCATCTTTGCAACGCAGCCACTGCAGTCCTTTTCAGATGTTAGAGCAGAGGTATTATTTACTAGCCTGTGTCATATTCAGGTTGTTCAGGAAACAGGAGTTTCCAGAAATTATTGTAAAAAGATCTTCTTCTTCTTAAGTGCTAGTGCTAGTGCTATTTCTATCCAAGGGCACTGAAATCCTAGAATTGAAGAATACTTGAGCTTAGAAGACTAACATATACAAACTGATGTGGGAAGTTCCTTTAAAAAAGGTATTGGATGTAATAGCTACACCTAGGTGGTTAGGAAAGCTTTTCTTTTTTAATAAGAAGAAACAGTTAACCCAGAGAGGGATGGAGCCCATCAGGTGGCTAGTGTGATCTGCTGTCATCAGGGAGGGGGAGGGGAGTTGGTTTTTGATTTTCTGGTTTTTTGTTTTGTTTTGTTTTGTTTTATTGTTCTATTGTACTTGTTAGGAATAACATGGTTACCTAACTTAGTTTGGGTAAAATAATATATATAGACTATGATTGTGTGTGTCGCTTTAAATGTAAAACATGTATTTTGGGTGCGGTTGTAAAATCACCACAAGAAAGAGCAAGAGAGCTCACTGTTTGCTGGCTTTTACTGGATTGCTGACAATGATGGATTGATGGTGATAACTGCGTGTTTTCCCTGCTATTGCTGAAGGAAGAAAAGAGGTTTGATTTTCTTCATATCTCTACTGCAAAAAGAGATATATTACTGGACTGATTATTTGTGAGTTTACTGACCTCTTTTTCGACACTGGACTTTGCTAATGAATAATCCCCGGACGGACTGAACTAAGTGTATGATATATGGACTGTTTGACTATGCTATAACTCTTACTGGAATAAAAACTATTTAACTGGCACAGTGTATCTGTTTTACTGAGTGTAAGCTACAACAACGTTTATCTCACATATCTGCCTGCCTGACTGACTACCGTTGCACGTTCTGCTAGGGTGTATATTCCTAACAGTACTTTACTAATTTAGTTGACTCTTTTTGTTAGTTTTTATTGTTTTTGTTTTTTTGTTTTAAATATGGTTTTATATTGTGTAACCCGCCTTGAGTCGCCATGGGCGAATAGGTGGCAATATCAATAAAATAAAATAAATAAATAAATACTGTGCTTGACTTTCTTCCCAAGATGATGCTTTTTTAGATTTCAAGAAAATCACGTTTAGTAGCTATCCTCTTGCTCCCAAGTAGAAAAGTCTATACCGGTGATGAAGGCATCGGTTCATGTGATACAGACTTACCCGGAAGCTGACAACGAATGAGAAAAATATCCTTTCATTTTGTAATTGGTTTTATAGTACAGAGTTTTAAACATGTTTTAAAAATGAGTCTTTTTCTAGCCAAAGAAGCAGAAAAGCCAAAATAGGCTGACATAAGGTAAGCAGTGGATAGAGATGGATTGGCTGGGCACTTTTCAAAAATGAGAGCTTGTACATAAGAGTGTGTATGAAGACTAACCAAAATGTTATGATTCCTGTGCACAGGATGAGTAGCTCAATTTCCACTCCCTCTCTCCTTCTCTCTATACCTACCTACCTACCTCTCTCTCTCTCTCTTTCAAGATCCAAGCTATTAAATAAAATCAATTTGGTAAGATAAACTGGATTCTAGTGTCCAGTCCTTTTTAGGAAGACTGAATTCAAGAAAAATATTGCAAATGGTGGGATCTTTCTTTGGAATAAGATATACATTTAAACAGTATTTCTACAAAAAGTAAATTATACATGGTATTACTTATGCACCAGTCATCCCACATATCTCATTATAAATAATTCTAAAATAGCTGTCCCTAATCCAGTATTGTAGATGGCTGGGATTCCAGAGCCAATTGGTTGCTGGCAGATTTCTGGGATGAATAGCTATAACACCTCTGGTAATGCTTAACTGGGCTAAGCTGCAATAGACATGCAACATGTACAGCTCAATGTAGGTGAGTGATGCAGTGGCCTATAGGTGGAGCTCTCACCTCACAATCAGGAGGCTGTGAGTTCCATCCTAGGTAGAAGAAGGTATTTCTCTTTCTGGACACATTGAGAATATATCTGCTGGGGAAAAAACTGCATTGGCGACAGGAAGGGCATCCGACCAGTAAACACTCGGCTCCATTCAATTGCCCAGACACCACTCTGCAAGGGATTATGGGTTTGTTAAAAGAGGATGGTTAAAAGAGGATGTACAGCTCAGTGTAGGGACCTTGTATGGATTATCTAGAGTTCAAAACTGGGAAGATAAGAAACTGAAGGAGGCAAATGGTCATTTTCAGAGCTCAGTTTAGCTCTCTCTTACATGGAGTAGTAAAATAAGACTGTTCTAGACAAACAATCTACACTGAATTTCAGTGCCTCAGTTTAAGAATGCATTTAAATAAGGCTTTAATTGTCTATTTGTCCCTGCATCAGATTCAGATTTTATTCAAGTTACACCATTCTCTTCAGCGCATTTAAATTTAGGATTACAAAATAGATTCTTGGACTTGGTGACTTGAATGATCTCTTCCAGTTCTATGACTTATCATTTTAGTCATTTTTGCAATATCCATTGTGTTTATTTTCACAACATAAGAAGTGGCACTCACTGATTCGTCACATCATACTAAGGCAGAAATGTACAATTTTCTTAAATCAGATGCTACATTTTAAAAAAGTAACTGTTGAGGATCTCAGGTGAATGGATGGAGTCAGTTTAACTGTACCAGAGAGGTTTGGGATGCAATGTCTTCAAACTCAACAAAGGTTAAGGTACCCAATTTTGTCCTGAACTCACATCCATTTTACCAAAATGTTTAGTCTTGCTTGCTTTGCATCTTCTAAGGTCTGTGGAAGGGATAGGAATAAAGCATATGCAGTCCTCTTTTATACAATGCTATTTTGTTTAACCATTATACAATATTTCCCAAGCCTTCCATTGGTTGGATTCCCACATGAAACTAAGCCATAAACCATGATTTCTAAATAGCAGAGATTAGGCTCAAACTATATTAAGCCACAATCATGTGAAGCAGTGGTGGCACAGTGATTAGAACACAGAATTGCAAGCTAATTCTGCCCCACAGAGTTCGATTGTCAATCTCCACGACACTTTCTTGACTTCTTCACTTTCATGCTGCTTGCTTCTTGTAAGCTGTCATAGAAATGGGGGGAGGGGAAATTTGGTATTTGGGAGGGGAATTTTGCTGGAGAGCAAAGATGGTTTCTGTGTGAAAAGGAGGGGATGCTTTCCTGCTCCCTGCGCGGCTGCATGGACTTATCTCTGCTTATCCTGGCATACCAGATGATGAAATATCCATCTGAAGATGTACCCCACATGACACTATAAGCACTTCAGATTGGATAGCCAGCCTGGACCCTTGGGGGGAGGGAAACTTGAGATAACTTTCAATATGTAATTTCCGCACCTATTTGCATCAGATCTTGCTTTCTTTTGTTGCTATCACTTCAAACTCAGTAAAAGTACCTTTTCTCTACAACAATGGACCACAACAATGGAATTGAGGGAGTTTTTTTCTTGGGTTTTGAATGAGGCACATCTGACATCGATCCTGATCCTCAGGTTGACTCAGCCTTCCAACCTTCCGAGATCAATAAAATGGGAACCAAGATTGTTGGGGGCAATATGCTGACTTTGTAAACAGCATAGAGAGGGCTGCAAAGCACTATGAAGCGGTATATAAGTCTAAGTGCTATAGCTATTATGCTACATGCCAAAATAGTGACTTTATCAAAATGTAGCTGCTGTCCAATTAGAAGAAAATGTGCCTGAGACATCCCCCATATACGATTCCTAAACTAGAATATCTGCCTTTTGCAGACTTTCTTCATTTCTAAGTGGTGTCATTTATTCAACAAAACTGTGTTTTTATATCTGTGTGAAAAAGAAATAGAAGTACATCACTGAATTAAAAAGAGGACTTTCACCTTCCTACATTTAGGAGTTTTAATATTTCAAAACATTTTATTTTTTAAAGGGTTAGATTTCAGACACTAAGAAGGCAAGGGTAGGAGAGAGATCATCACATTCTCTGCATAGTAACTGAGATTTTACAAAATGTGTGTGTTTTCATAAAAAAATATAATAGCAAAGGAAATCCATATTCAGACGTGTTTAAACTTCATGCCACAGCAGAGCCCATCCCAAGATTCCTCTCCAATAGGCATTTTCAAAAGCAAAACTAATAAGGAATGACAAAGCCAACACAGAAAGTCTGTTTAATGCTTTCTTCAGTTCATGAATTAATTGCAGAGGTCAGCCAGGCTCCGATTCTTAGATGGGGGTCTGGTTTCCTGCCTCTGGGTCAAAGACTACATCATGCATGAATAAAGGAAGTGATGATTTTACAAAAGGGAACCAGCAGCCATTTCTTTCTTTCAAAAATTTGCCCTTAATAAAGAAGAAAAGCAAAACTAAAAATGGTGTTCATTTAAATTAGTATTCATCATCATTATTGCTACACCAAAATTAGGAAAGAAATCTGCTATTTTAAACTGACCTAAACCTTGACTTTTTAAAAAAGGTACATATTTGGAAAATCATCATTTTTTTTACACATTAGTATCTATACATGTACAGTCACATGCACACGTTGGTTTTAGCTCCGCTGTAAAAGTTTTCGAAAGCTGATATGTGCTCCATTTTGCATTTGTTAAGAAGCTGTTTCTCCATGATGGCAGACTTTAATCAAGTATGGTATATAAAAGGTATTGGCATGAAAAAGCAATACCCTTGTTCCTTATTGGTAAAAAAGGCTCGTCTCCAAATTTAATTACACAGCAATAGTAACACAAGTGGGAGTTCCTTGGAAAGAAGAATTATCCCCTTTAAAAGAATTGTTCCATCTTTTACCAAATACGCCCATGCAACCCCAGAACATACAACATGAAGACACGAATGCTAACAAAATGCTCTACTTTTTTTTAACCACAGTTTATACACGAGGAAATGGAACAAAGATTTTATGAAGTTAATTTTGGGGCCAGATCATCCGGCTCCCACTTTTTCAGACTGTAGGTAGGAGTTGCTAGAAATAACTGACTTCCCAATCAATCCTAAATGTAGAGGACTACAGTAGACACCAGAGAAGGTTTTAACCAAACCGCCTCGTAATACATAACTAGTGTTTTAGATCGAACAATTTTGTTTTAACAAAGGAAAATGGTAATTAGTATGTATGTCAGCACATTGCAATTTTGAAAAAAAATGGCTAAAGTCAGAAAGTCATTCTGGTCCCAACGATGGAAGGAGATGTGGAAAGCAAGATGTGTTCTGTTTGGAAGGAGGAAAGAAATTGGAAAAGTTTAGAGATGTGGAAAGGCACAGTCTCCATTCCTGATTAAACTGCTTTCTCATTTGATGAGAGATTGTACAAGAACGCCCCATCAATCAATCAGAGATTTCAAAAAGGAGCAGGGAAAAAAATTAAATTGAATTTTGCAAGTACAAGTAGAGAAAAACAGGCAAGGCATATTTACAAACAAAGGCAAGAAAAAGTTTTGATAGTTTGACACAGCATCATACCCTGGTTATATTAATGAAAGGAAATTGTACCCTGTTCTCAACACAATGCAAATAGTTTCGTTCTGCAGGAGAGAGGCATTTTGGCATGTAACTAAGAGAACAGTCATGGGCCCCTCCCATTGTTCTACCGATGAGAAGCCATTGCTAAAGTTTATACCTATTGCTGCAGTCGTTGACTATTTTGAGGTCCTGAGGTACGCACACACCTTGGCATAAGAAACAGATTTGGCTCAATTGTCTAGAAAGGATATTGACATCCTCAGTGTCAGAAAAAACAAACAAACTTGAATTTGAACTATCTGGGGAAAGAGCTTGTGCAAACTATAGGAACTATACCTTGTCTCAGATCCCTTTTTCTAAAAAGAGCAGTTTGAAACTGAGTTAACCTGGTCACCAATTCAAATCATTTTTGGTGCTTTCTCAGCTATGCTCTCTAGTTCTCTGATGAAAACAATCTCTTGGAAAACGAAAGAAGCTTTGGAATATTAACAGAAGCACTGATAGAGGTTCTATGTTCTAAATACATAATTGTGAGAATGACACACTTTTCTGCATAAGGCAGAGGTGTGAGATCTCAACTTTGGACCTTTCTAAGCAAACACTATCAACAACAACCCCCACCCTCCCCCGGCAACACACCATATCATTCTAACATACAAGATGACATCAACAAGAATGGAAGAAGAAACAAGCCAGGTATCTACTAGACTAGAGCAAACAACATATAAACTTTTGGAAGTAATTTCTTCGTTCTGACATAAATTGGTCATGAAGGATAGTTGAAATGGAATAAAAAAGTTTTTGCTGTTGGAGGGTTGTTGTTGTTTGTTTTTGGCACATTAGAGAACATCAAAAACTTAGACATGGAAAAATAAGATCAACTGATGGCAGGCTGACAATATTTTCCAGCTAAATACAATTGCAACAAACATTCTTATTTTGGAAAAAACAACAACCCATGCACTTAAGCTGACATCCAAAGTCACCAAGCAACACTAGCTTGGCTGACTCAAGGATTATATACAAAACAGGGCTATCTTACAGCTAGTAAGAAATTCTCCCAGTAAGACAAAGCTGGTGCACTGCAAGAGTTTTTTTATACCACACTGGCAACAAAATTGTTGCAACGAAAGGCAGATATGTTTACATATGGCTTGGATTGCTATTAGTCCTTGGATTTAATTCTTTGCAGAGATCTTCACTGGACTTAGCTAGACATATCAGTAAAGATTGCTGGACTGGCTTTCTTTGCATTTTTTCTCACTTAAAGTTGTATGCATTGCCAGTTAGGTTTCCAAAGACTGCCCCAAAGCCACCTCCAATTTCTGTTCTCCATAGGGAAGGAGCTGTTTCTTGGACTGTAGGATTGGGATCTCAGCTGTCAAAATGCTTATTCTAGAGAATGAGATCAGCAGTATAAAATATGACTCACACGTTTCATGAAGGACAAAACTGTCCAGTCTAGTCTAGTGATAATCAATATAAATATTGTTTACACAAAGTTGATACTCATCTGGTACTGCCAGTGTGGACAGCTAAGTGTGAGTCTTGCTATGTCTGCTTCAAAAGAAACTAGAGGGACTTTAAGTCTCTTCCATCAATATTTTTTTTCTATAAATCTAGGTTTGCTGTTACAGCATAAGATCATTTTTGAGGAAAAAGATGGAGGTCCACATTTCACTGATGAAATTTTTCCTGTTTAAGATAGAACTGGTTTATTTTAAAACATTTCTTTGGCCTATGCTTGAGGCCTAACCTACAGAAAAGTCATGTGATATGAATCTAGAATGCACAGTTCTGTTTGCCCGAGTGTTACTGGGTCTGAACATACCTGCCAGGTCCCAGACAGTGTCTCAGGCTAGTCCTACCAGCTGCTGTTCTTACATCTGTTCCAAGATGCAGATTTCTTAGCAAATACGATGTAACAGGCATGGTGTAGCAAGCTAAGTGGAGCTCCGTTCATTTTTCTCTTCTTGGTAAATGCCATTGAGCAAAATCACTATGACACTTGGTTTAGAAATATTGACCATGTTCAGTTTGCTACCTATGCTTTTTTTTTTTTAATAGGATGGAATAGTCCTATAACAAAGATGTAAGTCAATTTCTACTGTGTATGTACAAATCTAAATGCAAGCTACATCTTGTTACTCAGATGCAAACTGCTGTGAAAATATGTTTGAACATGAAAGTCTTTTAGGGATCATGGAAAGTAAGCAAAAAAAAGAGGCGAGTAAAGTGTGAGTATCCACAAATAAAAAGTCTTATGGCCACACTGTACATGCAGTTATGTGTATGTGTACTGTAATGTTTCTAACAAGCAGAGGAACATCCCAGTGTGTGTGTGTGTGTGTGTGTGTGTGTGTGTGTGTGTGTGTAAGAGTGTATAGAGATGTAGGTGTTTAAAACCTTCCTGGCTATTTTCACAGTAAATATAAGATTATTTTTCTTCATTTTTTTTCTTTAAAAAATTGCTTGGGAAGGCGTACTGGTCCAGACAATTAACTTGGGCCAGTATGCCAGTATTCCTGTATATATACAGGGCCTTCTTGGTACATTTCCTACATTATCAAATTGTGGAGCTACCTACCAAATGACTTTTACCAAACACCATCATTACATCTTTATACAGAGGCCAAAGATTTGTTAAAGCATTTGGCATTTAATGGCATATTCTAATTGGAATAGGATTTGCATTACTGTATTGCCCTATTTTTATGCTTTAAATTTTATTTAAATTGTTGTAGGTTTTCCCTAAAAGAATGTTTAAAAATTAAAGAATTACTTTACTCTCCAAAAGTAAAAGATTAAGTAATCATTTCTTCACAATCCCTTTGCCAAACTTTACATAGTACATTAGTTTTTAATGTTATTAATTTTCATTGAAAATAACATAAGAGAACAGGGTTTTAAATTTCTTATAGCAGCCTCCCTCAAAGACAATACTCTTCAAATGTTTTGACCAGTTATCACCATCCACCTCCTGGCAGATGGGTTTTTTAATCCAAAGTAGATGAAATGCATTGGGTTGGAGAAGGAAGACTAAGAATCATTCTGAAAGGGACCCACATGGATCTTGCAGTGTGTTTTTTGGATCAGGAGACTGGATTTAAATTCCTGAAATTATATTCCTTAAACTGGGAAGACAGTTAAAATGACTGAACAGGGAAAGTTGGGTAGGGATACCAGATTTTGCAGAATTATATGGGCTTTCCTAAATTTTATTTGAGTATTTTTATTTCCGTTCTTCCAGTGTATGTTGTTCAATCATATATCATGGCAAAGAAAATGGGTGGCCATTGAAGCAGTGATTAGACCATGATTATAATACTAGATAGTAAACACAACAGGCCACTTCCTGCTGCAGTATTATGCTTCCAAGGCACCGAGGAATCCCAGACTGGGTTAAAATTAAAAGGCAGTGATGTGAGCTGAGTGTGTGCTTAAAGAATTTATAGAATGCTATGTGGAAGACTAATATTTCCTAGGCAGGAGACTGGTATTAACAGCTTAGCACTTCAGTACAGGTAGAGAAAAGAATGAGTTATGATTCTGCTACCTTACCCCTTTTTACAGGCTGAAGAAACCGATAATCTTCAGCTGTCTATTGAATTAAAGCGCTAGATGGGAAGACAAGCCTCCAGTCCAAGATCTAGCTCACTGTCCTGAACAATTTGGGGATTGTTGTTTGCTTTATGACATTATATGTTCTATCTTACGCTAATGCCAGGTACGGTTTCCCCAAGAATGTCCTTTACTTCATTTACAGGCAGAAGGCAAAGAACACCACCTTTTCTAAACAAGCCCAATACATCCAGTTCAACCTATTATATGGCTAAGATTGGCAAGGGCACCTCCACGAACAGGACAAGACTGGATAGACAGTGGCACAGAAGAAAATGGTATCAAAAATAAAAAAGGAGAGGATTACAAACACACGAAATGTGCAGTGTCCACAATAGAAGTGAGCTACTTTTTTTCTTCTTCTCTTGGATTCAGTCAGCCTGGATCCAGATATTGGAATACAAGTAGGGAAATTGTGCTGGTTTTGTCCATAAAGAAGAACAAAAGCCATGAGAATCTGAAAGGCATTCTTGCTTAGCATCCACATTCAATCAGAAATGACTCAAGTGCTTTGATGCAGGATGGTCCTGCATCAAATGCAGGATTGTCCTGATTGCGATTCCTTCTAATCATAGTCAAGAATGGTTTTGATGGAGGACACGGTCCTGAAAATAAAGTGACCTTCAGGAGTAGGATCCTTGCTCTTGATTTTTTATTTATTTATTTATTTATTTTTGCAGAAAGTTTTGGTGTTCCTGAAACGCCTCTGCTGTACTACAACCAACTTCATATTGAAATGAGACTTTGTTCACTCACAATCCATCAAGGCTTTTGTTAACCATAAACAAAGTAGATTGGTGCAATCCTTAAAAAGAAGGGCAAATTGCCAGAATGATAAAAACACCCTGGCTAATACTCCAGCAGGGATCCTAATATGACTCAAAAGTTCCTCTCTAGAGGACATTTGCCATTGGAGCAGCATAAAATCTTCTGGCAACTGGTCCGGTCCTCAGACCTATAGATTTTCTCCTGGTTGATACTGGGGCTCTGTTGATGTGAAGTAATCCTCCAGGAAAGCTTGGAGGTATTCAAAGGTTGGCCTTTCCTCAGGATCCTTTCTCCAGCACTGGCACATCAGATCGTGTAGAGATTCTGGGCACTCTGGTGGACAGGGCATCCGATAGCCTCGTTCCACTTGATCTAGGACTTCCCGATTCACCATGCCTATGACACACAAGAAAAGGGGAAAGAAAGAGACAAAAGAAGAAGAAAGAGAGAGAAATATGTTTAATGTAATTGGTACGACAGTGAAAATACTTGCAAATTGTTCCTGGTTTCACATTTTTGTTCTCCTTTATTTTGTTGGGATCAAATAGTATACTCTCCAATCAAAACATACAGAGGCATTCCCAATTAGTCATATTGGCACTCTATGTCTGTTGCATGCTATCTGATAAGTATTTTAGCCTGATCATAACCCATCCAAAGTTGAGAGGGTGAAGAGCTGGAGATATGAGGTTTAGTTGCCACTGCCTGTATTTACATAGTGTTCTGACCAAGGCTTATTAAGACATGAACAAACACGTTAGTCCCAAAACTCTTTTTTTATTTCAACAGCTGTGAATTTTATTCATTCACAGCCCGTAATGAGTCTCAAACAATTTGGAAGTCTGCCAAAGTCCTTCAGGATAAGTCTGATAAGCATGCACCTTTATCATCCTTGAAATGCTCCCAACAACTAAATTTCCAATTAGTTATACAAGGCCAAATGGAGCACAAATTCAACACAGAGCTTCAGGTTTAAACTGACCAGTACAAACAAAGATGCTTCCTACAAAGGTTCCTGTCCCTTTGCTCCTCCTTTATGTTTTATGGGAGGGCCAATCACCTCCAAGCCTTACTCCTTTTGTCTTAACTAAACTTGTCTTCTGGCAGCTCTGCGCATGCGTGCATGGGGAACAGGCTCCCCTTGTTCCTCTGCCTCACTGCTGTCATATTCTGGAGGCTCCGGAGTTAGCACATAACTCCCAGATGGCCCTGGCTCCATCTCCGTATCAAATGCAGGACCCTCGTATGAGTCCTTCCCAGACTCCTGGACTGGCCCATGTTCCTTCCCACTGTCAGACTCTGCTGCCATCTCCGCAGGCTGCCGGTGGACCACAACACATGGATTGGTCTTCATCACTTATGGCTTGTAGGGCCCCCACTTTCAAGGGGAAAGAAATGTAGTCTGAGCCAATAGCTAAGTATGGCCAGCCATAGTCTAGCCTCCTCTTTCATGAATTATCTGGTTTTATTCAGATTGTATTCCTTCATTAGATTTTTATCCCATAGGAACTCATGGCAGATGGAAATAGTTCCCTACAGATGTTTTTGAAGCTCTTGGCACCTATACCAAAAGTGAACACACACTTACCGGGATATGGTACTCGACCTTTGGTAGCAAGTTCTGTCAAGAGTATTCCAAAGGACCAAACATCTGACTTGATAGTGAACCGACCATACAGAGCAGCTTCTGGGGCAGTCCATTTGATGGGAAATTTAGCACCTAAGCACGGAAACAGAAATGTAAATTAAAAGGTTGAAAACTCTCATTCAGGTTTTCTTGTCTAGGGACCACAAAAAGAAGGGACAAATGGAGGTGAATTACATTCATATGTGCTGCCATGTCTACCAACTACTTTTTATCATTCATCCACTGTAAGCAATGCCATAGTAATTTGAAACATACCTAATTATGCATTTTGTTGGCAAATGAGCCTCTTACTAGTATCTGCTGAGCGAGAGGATGCCTACATTCTACTGATACTACCTTCTTCCCCCCTGAAGCAGATGGCATTTTTTTACCTGAACAGGTTAAAGAGTCATCATACCTTGTCTTGCTGTGTATTCATTGTCCTCAATCAGTCGTGCCAGTCCAAAGTCAGCTACTTTGCATACCAGGTTCTCCCCCACAAGGATGTTGGCAGCTCGGAGATCTCTGTGAACGTAGTTCATCCTTTCCACGTAGGCCATGCCAGAGGCAATCTAACATTATTCCAAAGGCAAATTAAAGTCTGAGGTAACTTAAAAAAAATTTTTTTTTTTGTTCCGCAGATTTTACTCCTTAAAGCATTCGTCAAATCAACTAAGGCTTATTTACTTCATATCAAGGGAAAGTCTGGGTTATAGTCATTTGTATAGTAAAGTCTTGTATGATGGTGATCTTAAAATATCAGACTACATAATAGTTAATGATGAGGCTGACTGCTGCAGACTAAACAGCTTACTTGGAAGCACTCAGAATTTCATGAGTGTTTGCAGAAGATACTTATCTAAGTCAATTACGATTATGTAACTATATCTGCACAACATATAAAGCTTAATTAATGTTAATGCTTCTTTGTGATTTGGCCTGATGCACAAGCTATTTGGTTAATTTATAATTTAATATATCTTGCATTTTTTTTTAAAAAATGGATTACTTCAATAAGCAGGTTATGTTATGCAGCCAACATATATTTTCCCCTGGCCTGACTCACTTCAAATTACAAGAAGAAGAATCTTCTGATGTGAATGTATTTATTAAAATGGCTATATTTCATTTTATATAAATAAATCTTAAGATAAGATGCAATCAAGTAAAACTAGACAAAACAACAACATAGCTCCAACAAATCCAGTGTATTAAAACTCCTATCACTGAGACCCAAAAGTTTGAGGAAACAATAATTTTTCCTTGATACACTTTTTGGTGCCATTCTAACTGGGCGTAGTGGTGGTGATCTTTGAACATAAAAATTTCAGTCTCTCTCTCCCTCTCTCTCCCCATAATCCATTGCAATGAGATGGCAGCAAACCAATTTAATAAATAAATAAAACTAATGTATTACTTCTCATGGTGGGAGACAAATAAAAACTCTTCCTAATGGTAGAGCTTAATGTTTGCGCAGCTGTCACAAGAGGTGCCCCAAATATGGTGATTCCAAACAGAGTGCTCTATATTTTTATTCACATATTTATGGATAAGCTCCTCATGTCCATATTCAAATAGAAAGAGCACAGGAAACAGTGGATTGCTTTCTATATCAGTTCAGAACCTACCTTCCAAATGCTGAGTCATGATATAGGCGTGGAAAAGATGCACTAAGTTATCTGCAGCCTATGCAAAGCTTTTTACACTCACCTGTGCAGCCATGTCCACCAGCTGGGGCAGTCTCAGATACTTGCCCATCTCTCCCTTCAAAAAATCCAGGAGACTTCCTACAAGAGAACATACAGTTGTCAAGAAATTCACATAGTGGGAAATCACAAAGTCATTAAGCTTTCTAAAACCCTTCACTATTTTCACTTGTAAATTGGGGTGTCATTTTCTACTCCTTGAGTTTTGTTATGACACCTTAAGCAAGAACTGAGTTGTGCACTGCCTATGTGCCAAGCAATCACACTTCAGTGCTTGCTAAACAGCATATGAATTCATTCAACTCCAACTTACAACATTACATCTTTAGTTGTGTAAATGCATTTTTAGCAGTCAGCTTCATGTTTCACATGCTATTGTATTCAGTAACACAGAAATTATAAATATAGCTAGGAGAAGTTATGTTTTCCTTCCAGTTTCACATTTCTCCTCTCTCTCTTTGTCTCTCTCTGTCTGTCTCTGTCTCTGTCTCTCTCTCTCTCCTTCCCTCCCTCTGTTTTGCCTATTTCAGTTTGAAGGAGAAGAAAGCATATAGAGCAGGGGTGTCAAACTGGTGGCTCACAGGCCAAATGAGTCACACACAGGCCACGCCCATCCCACCTCCACGAATGGGAAAAACATTGTGAAACATCACGTAACAGCAACGTGACACCACAAGTTTGACACCTGTGATATAGAGAAATAGAAAGAACAAATAATAGCAGATGCAAGCACCTTTGCACATATACTCTGTTACAATGTAAATTGGCTCTTCTGAAACCACAGCATACAACTGCACCAACTTTTCATGGCGCAATTTCTTCATGACCTGAGCCTCCTGTAGAAATGCTTCCGGAGACATTGTCCCGGGCTTTAGAGTCTTGATTGCCACCCTGGTGGTACCATTCCAGGTCCCTGGAGAAGAAACAGAATTAGTTTTCTCAACAAGAAGCATGACTTGTACAAGCCTAGTTTGTCAGGTACCAATCTCTTCAGATATTAAAACATGTAAACTACCATATTTGGGGTATGCTCATACTACAGTCACCGTTATATACAGTTATATAGAAAAGAGCCATAAACCATGGTTTCTAAGTGCCAGAGTTTAGACTCAAACTATATTAAGCCACAATCATGAGGAGCCATGGTGGCGCAGTGGTTAGAATGCAGTACTGCAGGCTAACTCACTGCTCACTCCAGGAGTTCGATTCTGAGTGGCTCAGGGTTGACTCACTCTTCCATCCTTCTGAGGATGGTAAAATGAGGACCCAGATTGTTGGGAGCAATATGCTGACTCTGTAAATCACTTAGAGAGAGCTATAAAGCACTATGAAGCAGTATATAAGTCTAAGTGCTATTGCACATCCAAGTACAGATAAAGAATTGATGCAGAATACAATTACTGTCAAAAGCAATAATCTTGTGAATTTGATGATAAATGTTTCACTTCCAAAACTTCCACGCTGTTCTCTTATAAATCCACAATTTCAGAAAGAAGTAGAGTCAAAATGTAACAGAAATGAATGTCAGGGTAATTTTAAATTTTGTATCCCTCTCCTAGCAAGTTGGAACTGCAGGCAGAGTTCTGATTCCACATGCAGTTCTGTGATATAAATGGAAAAGCAAAAACAGTCCTCCAGTCTGGTATCAAACAGGATCAACCCTCTTAATTAAAATGATTAAGAGATCCTCTTGGATCTGTTTCCTCAGAAATCTTACACTACGGCTCTCAAGATAGCAGAATGCTCAGCTCATCCATACTGAACCAACTTGTAACTAGACTTTCTGTATCTTGCCTGAGAATATTCATAATATTAATACTCTATGCAAATTGAAAGGTAATAGTATTTAGTAGATGGACAATATCTGTTTGAGATGTGGAGTTTGGTCCCACTATCCTTGTCATTATCTTCATTTCCACGGATTTCAATGAGTCTGCTCAAAGGATTACATTTGGAAACAATCTTTCATATTTGATAATTGTGTGTTCGAATACTCTTGTTTTTGTTCGTTTTTTATTGATTTGCATGTCACCTCAGTCACTGAAGTAACTCTAAGCACCTTACATGTTTGGATTAATATAGCCATTGAGTAATGAAATAGTAAGCAGCAGTTAATGCATGGTTAGTACAAGAGCCCACATTCGTTTGTTGCAAATCCACCAGCTGATATCATACTACAGTACTAAAACAGCTGTTATAACTGACCTTACACCTTTTGCTATAGCAAGTCATAAAACAATGCAGCTGATTCCTTAGAAACTCAACGAACACCTCCAAAGTCATAGGACAGTCAAAAGTGAAAAGTTTGCTCTAAGTGCTTTTCCATGCCTGAAAATACGTTTTCAGAAATGCACCGTTCATCAGATAAAATGATTATGTTTCTTCTTGGAAATTCTTACCCATCCAGACTTCTCCAAAGCAGCCTTGTCCAAGTTTGACCTCTAGCCGCAAAGATTCCCGGGGGATTTCCCAAGCATCTTTTGCCAAGCCCTGTGTCTGAGGCTTGCTGGTTGGACAAACATTAGTAAGACGGTGGCACAGACCATCAGCATGTTCTATGAAAGAATAAAATCAGAATGTAAGAACACCTATAAGGACCCATGGGGAGCAATATACTAACATTGTAAACTGCTTAGAGAGAGCTGTAAAGGGATATATAAGTCTATGAAGAGGTATATAAGTCTAAGTGCTATTGCTATTTATTTATTTTAAACCAGCCTTATCTCTATTTTAAGTTTCCATTACTTGACTGGAATTATTATATTTACTCTAATTCATGTTTCAATATAGGATCCTTGGCAAACAAATGAGCCCCAATTCAGAGCAGCTTAGGCACCTCTGATTGAATATCTCCTACAGGTTGTCCTCTTTTAGTAACCACAGTTGGAACCAACAGCTTGGCCATTAAATGAAGCAGTTGTGAAACATCAAAATTTTATGATCTTTCTTCAATTTTCCTTTGCTTTACTAACTGCAGATTGGTTACTTTTTCATCACTGTTGTAACTGTAAATAGTCTCTAAATAAGTCACTAAATGAGAACTATTAATACGTTGGTTTAGACATTACTCTACTTGCAAACGTTTGAGTTATGAACTCATGCAAATAAATCCCTCTGTAACTCTTGGAAGTTGGGCAAAGGTACACTATAACTAAAGGGACGCGGTGGCTCAGTGGCTAAGATGCTGAGCTTGTCGATCAGAAAGGTCAGCAGTTTGGCAGTTTGAATCCCTAGCGCCACGTAATGGAGTAAGCTCCCGTTACTTGTCCCAGCTTCTGCCAACCTAGCAATTTGAAAGCATGTAAAAATGCAAGTAGAAAAATAGGGACCACTTTGGTGGGAAGGTAACAGCATTCCGTGCACCTTCAGCATTTAGTCATGCCAACCACATGACCATGGAGACATCTTCGGACAGTGCTGGCTCTTCGGATTTGTAACGGAGATGAACACTGCCCCCTAGAGCCAGAAACAACTAGCACATATGTGCAAGGGGAACCTTTACCTTTACCTTTACACTATAACTAACTCTTCCCATCTTCTCCTGATTTCTGCTCACATATTGGTTGCTGATCTTCATGCATGCTGTTTGTTGTTTAGTTGTGTAGTGACTGTGTGTGGGATCTATTGTAGTGATTGTGAATGTTTGGAATTAAGTGCAAGAGTGATTTTTATGCTTGTTTGGATTTATGAATAAAGCAGGCTTATGAATAGCATTTTGGAACATAGCCTGTTTGCCAGTAGAGGAATGTCTATACATTGAATATATATTATTCAGTGTATCACTATATCAATCACAAAATGCATACTTTATTTTCTTTTCAAGAGCAATGAACAGAAATCTTATATTGCTTGCAGTGACAGTTCAAAGTAGAAAAGCCATGCACTGTCAAGCATTAGAACAATTAAATTTGGATCCAACGATGCAATCTTTTATTGTTCATTTCATATTTAATACTTGGTTACTTGATGGAATGTCTTTCAAATATAGCCACTCTTTTCCTTATTCTGAGGTATTTTGGACAGAGATCCTTGCAGAAAATAGAGCCCTCATTAGAAGCTGAAATGACACTTACTGGAATAATAAGCCACTAATTGCTGAAGGCTGCTGAACTGTGTACGGGATGTGATATAAAAGCCACCATTGTCCAGTTTGCGAATTTTGTAGTGCTTCACATTGAGGCCCTTGGCATTGTCAAAATCTGAGACAGAGAGGCAGTAGGCACCTGTTAAAAAAAGTGAGATCTATTTCAGTCTATAATCTTAAAGATAATTTGCAATCAATATTTATTAAGACTGATTAACCCAAGATGACAAGGCTATATTTTGTATCTAAGTATGTGTGCATTTTCCTTCCTTCCTTCCTTCCTTCCTTCCTTCCTTCCTTCCTTCCTTC